GCGAACACTATCCGGTTGGACGATCATAAATTCCGGGTCCAGACACACTTTTCGCACAAACTGTAGCGCGATGACGATGAGTGCCGGATACCGCCGAGCGAAATAGTTCACCGAATCAAAGAGAGCAAGTCTACCGAAATAAGACTCTACTGCTTGGTCGTTTAAAGAAACATTACGGATGGTTCTTTTCTAGCACCTCGTGCTCGAATGAGGATGGTATCTTCCAGAGTTCAAGCTGAACGGGCAATTCGATTAATTGCTCGAACAGTGAACTGAAGAATAGTCCCGATCCGCTTTTCGATATGGAATGTGTGCAAGGGAATCCGAAAATCTATACACAGAAACTTTGTCCAGTTTGTTGTCAGGCTACAAGTTCATCACGGATGATCCCCACAACCCGGAAGTTCCAGATTTGTCGAGAAACAAAGAAATCAGACCACTCATTTCTTCGGATTTTTACAGTTTTCAGGAGGTCACACAAACTGAAACTTGAGATATTTTTGTTCAGTGAGTTAAACGCACGTGCTTGTGAGATTAATGGACTAAAGTGTCGAGCAAACCTTCGTTTATTCTCCTCGGGAATCTCATACACTTTTCACTGTTCACACAGAAACCGTTTCCTATTAGAATTGACTAGCATTGTGATAGACTTGACTGAACTGATGTTGTGATTGTCGGAGTATCGAATGGATTGGGCATTTTTTACTAGAATTGATCGGTTCACTTGAAGTTGGAACAGTTCCCTTCGAAATGGTATAAATCAAATTTGATTTCCGGTCTGGGCTCGATTAAGGTCGTTTNGTTTTACTGGGGCACAGTGCTCAGTCGAGTTTCTTTTTTGCAGCCTCACACGCAATGTAATGATGCACCAAACCATAGAGTTGTGCCACTTATCTCGCTTGTTCCCCAGGTTTTAATAGCAACACTCGCAGATAGCAACCAACCAACAGCATGCGACTGCGATAGATAGAGTGTGACGAAAGACCATCAAAGTTAGTTTGATTAACATGTGTACTCTGTTGTTTCTTTTATAATTTGGCACATTGTGAACACTTGCTATGCGCACCTACTCACTCTAGTTCCATCGGTTTGATAGGGTGATTCGACAGGCGCGGGACCGCCCGGCTGTGTTTGTCCCGAGCCAGACGGAATAGACGATATGCTGATCCAATCCGTCATCAGATCGCATGAAGACGAGGATGCTTTGGAACGTTTTCTGACCGAACAATGAAAACGATGCTCTCGCAGCGGCACGTGAAATCTCAGTGGTAAACATTCCATCGCTTGTGGGAAATCCACCTTCCATTGTGCATCTCGTGGCAGATCTTTCCTGTCTGCAATTGACCAGTCCAGATCTAATGCAATTCATTTCACTTCGGATGTCCTTTATATCTATCTAACTTGCTTTCAACAGAATTTATTCACATTGTAATTATCCTTTGCAATAAAAATTGAAAAATCACTGGAGTCGTATTCGTTCCCATCAAACTGGGTGAGGAACATTGTTCAAGTAAATCAGATGCATAGTTTACTGTTAGGATTGGCCATCCATAATAGATACATGTACCTTGAAAAGTAAAATATTGTTGTCCGAAGGACAACTTCTGGATGCAATCAAAGAGAGCACTAAATAACAAGGCATTATGACGCTTCGGTGCCCACCGAGATTCGTTACGGAGCTGCATTCACCAGAACTTGTGCTCAAGTGCGCTGTCGCAACCGCAGCTTTAACTTGAATTTTATCACGTCACTGATACGTAAATGAGGAAGTCAACCCAATGCGACCGCTGTCTCGATTGTACCTTGACACAGCCCTGTACGCCGTCCAAACTGAGGACACCCATTGGCACAGTGGCGTATGTTTGAGATGTGTTTGTTACCCCCTACTCTGTAATCTGAAAACCATAAGATAACGTAACGTGTCACGACGAGACTGCACCTGTGGTGTGATGGCTTGTGCACCTGATCTCTGATCCAACGAGCTACACAGGATGGCTTTCGTCAAGCCGCAAATCTAATCATGCCGGAAGGTCGAAGAGTACAGGTCAGACGAAGTCGTCTCCTGGTTGGGGGTCCGACTAGAATTTGCGTTTCAGTCGGTAAAAAAATAGCGGAGTAATTGATTCAAGTAAATGGGCCTCCACTTCGCTTCACCCGCTGCCTTGTGGCTGGGTTCTTGTCAGAATTAAAGGCGCAGTTTGAGCGTTAATCGTTCTAGTGCTTAGTGGCTGGACGCCCGTCCATCAAACCCCCAATGCATATCCATTGCGTGTTTGGCAGCGATCAGTGGAGTTCGCTTCTCTGTATTTCGCTGTACGATGATGATAACCAGTGTTTTGTTTTGGTATTAACTTGCACGTCATCGAGGACATGGAATTACACTCCAGTAAACAACTGACAATGTGCAGTCAAACTCCTAGGTTTAGACAAGGACAACAAACAGGAACATTTTGCACGCCCTCCGACAGACTGATTCGGAGGTGGTCAACTACAGCATCTATCATCATCTAAACGAGGTTCTTCTGAAGGCACCTGAGACGGCCACTGTCAACATGACCGGAGACACAAACACTAGCGCTGCACACTTGTCGTTCGATAAAAAACTCAATATCTTGAGTTGTCCAACCTGCAAACAAAACGCAATCTTATCCTGGCTAGGCCAGAAACGCCATGAAGT